GTAATTAGTTTTGATTAGGAAAACAAATGATCGCAAATGAAAAATCAAGGCATCACAAAAAGTAAACCAAGAGAATTATCAAAAGCCCATTATTGTTACCTCACAAAGTGCTACGAGCATCAAGCAAGACGCTAGTTCTAAAGCTTCCGCACGGATGCGATCTAGAAGATGTTTCTGCCTCTGCTCATCAAGACCCTTGGAATCAATAACACTAATTTCTGGTGGCTCTTCAGGGTACTGCAATAAAGAATTAATTATTTGACAATAAGTACAACAATGTTTTGCTCTCCAACATTGACACGTACGGTTTCAATGATATGGATATTCTAAAGAAAATGCAAATGCCTACACTGAGTTTACTACCTGAGGACCAGCTCGCATTCCGATAGTTGCTTCGACAAACTGCAGAAGAAATCAGTGTCAATGTTAAACTCATCTAGATTTTGTATCTAAAAAAATTTGAATGGCAACTGAAGAAAACTGAACAAAAAAATTTGAAAAGATTAACAAAAACAAATAAGTTGCCAGCAAAAAAAGTATGGTGGCATATAGCCTGTAGTAGATTCAATGAAAAGAAGAACTAGCCGCAACATGCCCAGACAAATAAGTATATGTATCGAAAACATAAAATAAATCATATTCAGAAGGAAAAAGATTAACCATTGACACCGACAATATCCCAAGAATGATAGCAACAAGATTTCTGATTTAATTGAAACGAAACAAACCAATTCACTCAATCTTGATTATTACATTACATAAAATCAAGTCACCAAACCGCGAGACAATCTTCTTTGTTGAAAAAAAGCCATATATCGCAATACCAAAAAAATCAGAGGCTTCAGTTGCTCGAGGCTTCAGTTGCTCATGCCTAACAGTTGCAAGTTACTATCAAGATAAGACTATCACGGGACAAAAGTAATCATGAATAAAAGAAAACCGTTCAAAATTTCAATCACAAAAAATCAAAACGAGGAAATAATCATTGGGTAACATAATCATCAATGTCACCAAATATCAACTGGAAATGCCTTCTTGATTATTCATAATATATTAAGTCATCAAACCATGAGACCATCTTCTTCATCCAAGGCTTCATTCTTGTGAATTTCAGGCTAGAAACAGTCTCAGCCTGTCAAGAACCCACATGCTGATATTCAACAGTAGCAAGTTAATAACAAGACAAGACTATCGCCAGAAAAAATCAATCACAAAAATCAAAAGGAGGATATGATCATAGGGTAAACATAGTCATCAGTGTCCGCAAATCTCGACGAGCAATGCTTTGTAAACCAGAAAACGAAGGTACCTGTTGAGAGTAGACCTCAGCCGTGCGCGGCTTAAGGTGGATATGGATATGTGGAGGGTAAGCTTCGATGACGAGGCAATCGCCACCGTACACCGCCTCGACTGCCTCTAGTTCTGCCCTAATCTCTTCCTCGGCCATCGACGACGGTGGCGAATTCAGCGGCAACGATTACTGCGAACTTGTTAAGCTGGCCGATACTACCTACTTGGCAGATCCCCCAGATGGATTGTTTTACGGGTCGGGTCAAAATACGTGGGGAAAAGCTTTACGTAGGTTCTCTTCGGCGGCACAAAGACAGATTGTATCCAGCCCAGTTTATGCCACTGGCCCATAAGACTTCAACTGGGCTGGCTTGGACTCTAGTAAAAGTGTTAGGTCACATGGTAGCATAAAGTATTCTGATTATATACCTCGTATATTCTAATGAAGGTTGTAAACGAGCAGAGCTGAGCTCAAATTTAGGGTGCTCGAGCTCGAATTCGAGCCTAAAATCGAGCTCGAACTTTGTTCGTTAAGGCCTCGAGCTCGAGCCTTGACGATCCAAATCATATAAAATTATATAAAAGTTCTACGAACCTTATCTAGCCAAGCCGAACTCGGCTCGATAGCCAAACGAGCTTTTAATGAACTCGAGCTTAGCTCGTTAAGACATCAAACTCTAGCCTTAATGGGCCGAGCTCGAGCCGAGTCGAACTAAGCTCGTTTAATTTAATTGCACTTTCCATGGTTGTGTAACGTGTTCTGAGGATAATAAAACTCAAATCACAAGTTTTACTATTAAAGCATTTTTTGTTGCTAGTATTTATACATATTAATATTTTGATTAATTTTTTAATTTCATTTTATTTTATTTTTGTCAAAACAGGTCATAACCCATAAGTCCATTCTCTATCATAAATCATAATAATTTGTTACAAAACAACCAATTTTCAGATTTTATTGTCTAATAAAAGAACATTAATGCTTGCCCACATTAAGTTTTCTTAAAAAACATTTCAATGTAAGTAAAGGGTGCATTAAGTATTTAGTACAATCTTTAAATAAGAAATAGTCCCCTCAAGGGTTGTCCCTTGTCAGTCCATTCATACACTTCATAGTGGTCAAGACCCAATCTTCACTTGATTGGAGCCTAGCACTTTTTGAAACACTGCTTGAGCCTTGTACTTCTTACAAAATTTGAAGAATTAAACTCACCTATAGTTGGAGGATAACCAAACTGCAAGTACATTCTCCTTCTGCACGAGCACGACCCAAAAGAATAGAAAAAATGCTGCGACTAATATTCTCACCAGCTGACTCCTATAGCAAGTACCTCTGCGTAAGGTTCTTCACAATTTCTTGGACGGTGTACCGACATTGACACCTTCTCGCTATAGCAGTGATAGTGAAAACTCCTACAAACCAAAACCAAGGGTTTAGAAGCCCGGAAAAATTGAGAGGTCCACTATTCCCTTTGGAAGAACGGATATTTTTCGTAGTAGTCCAAGCCTGTTTTTTCTGATCCTTTCATCTTCCTGCAATCAGAGTTTGGAGTATATTACATAATATGCATGTTGACTAACGTTGTTCTTACAAATATATGAATCCCAAAGGTATGATAGAATGAGGTCATTCTTAAAGCATGCATTGTATTTTGTATAACTGTATAAGAAAGTGCATGCCATGATGATTATGACAGAGTTCTTCACATTGCACTTACTGAGTGATATATTTGTAACGTTAACAAAAAAAATAATGATAATAATAATTGTTTTTGTAATCATAGAAGGTAAAATGTAATGTCTGTAATTAGGTGAAACCTCGTAATAGTTTTTGTAAACCTTTTATTTCCAAACGCTGAAAAAATGGAATGTAGCATTCTTTTATCAGTATATAATTAAGGATGACATACCACCATAACAAAAACACTGTTGAAGAAATCCTCCAGTGGCTGTACTAAATCAAAAGATGCTTCAACAAAATCATCGACCTCCATGTCTGTAACACATTAACACAGGAAAGTGACGTGAAATGGAGGAACTAACAAATACAGGGAAGGGAAGAGAAGAAACATGAAATATATATGTATATGTGAGTATATATATTATATAAGCAGGGAGGTACCAGGATGAATTTTACTCCTCAACGATGTAAATGTGCTCCATAAAGCTCTC